TCCTCCTCCTCATCTTCTTCCTCTTCCTCCTCATCATCTTCATCCTCTTCCTCACATCCTCTTCCTCTTCATCACTGTCTTCCTTTTTGGCATTCTTACCATTCTTAGCTCCCTTGGCTGGCATGACAGCTCCCTTCTTACCAGATGTTGCTACCAATGCTTTTGCTTGCGTGGCTCCCTTCTTACCAGGTGTTACAACTACTTTGGCTGGTGTAACTGCCTTCTTAGCTGGTGTGGCTGCTGCCTTTTTGCCTGGGGTAACATTTGCTTTCTTAGCTGGGGTGGTAACTGCAACCTTTTTTGTTTGTGAAACGACCACCTTCTTAGCTGGAGTTGTAGTAGCCTTCTTGCCTTTTTTCTGAGGGATGACAACTTCTTCACTGCTGTCATCTTCTTCATCTTCTGACATCTCTTCGTCTTCACTATCTTCTTCCACCTCCTTTGGGGGAGGAGCCATTTTCTTGGACTCACTGTGGGTTTTGCTGGCCTTTGCGAGCTTCACCATGATGGTGGATTACGACGGCGGCGTGTGTGGAGGGCGAGCAGCTCGGAAGAGCCTCGGGGCACCCACGCGAGGTCGTCGGCAGCGGCGGGCACTGAAGGCTCCAGAGCACGTACAACTGCCTGCCAGCTACCGCTAGCGTCTGAGGCGAAAGCCTGCATTTGTATTTGAAGAGTTTCTTTATTATAATTTCTGTCATCCAGTGACCTTTCAGAATTCCTGTATATTATTAATTGAAATCATCGCTATAATTGGCTTTGCTGAACTAGTAGTTTCATTGCCAAGACAAAAATATACATTTGAGAAAATAAATTACACTGAGATTATTTTAAAACGTTTAAAAGTCAGAATTTTGCTGTAGGAGAATTAACAGATTTGAAGAACTAAAGTTACTTCAGTTCTTACAGCTTCTATTGTACATCAGACAACAGCATTCCAAGATGTTGTCATTTCTTATGAGAAAAAAGCACTTGTTCTTATGAAACAGAAAGACAGTAAATTAGTTTAATGGTTTGTGAGACATTTACTTTTAAAAGTTAGTGTTTCAAAATAAAATACTAGAAACATATAACACAGTAGTCTTAACATTTTTAATGATTTATAACTTCTGTATTTTGCCTCACTTGCCAACCACTCAGAAATAATCTAACTGGTTAATAAAAAGGAACAAGCAGTGAACCATTAAATTCTAGCAAAATATTAAATTTGTTCAAGTATTATTTTAAATAACCTTGTATAACCAGTTGAGCAGAAACCTGACTTCTTTTATTCTCATATTTCCTCTGTTCTTGCTGATAGTTAGGCAAGTCGGTATTAGTAGGAAATAGTTGGTGCACATTTCACAGCCTTCTCAGTTTGGCAGGAGTAGTGGAAAGTGCTGCTTATTGGAATGAAGAGGGAGGCCATAAATAATCCTAATGAAAATTAAATCGCATAGGTGCAACTTCATCCAGTATAGCATAGGTGAAGCCTGATCCCATCCAGGGAGCTAAAGAAGCATGTACCATTTTCATAGTGTTAATAGCAGTCAGAAAGGGCAAATAATAGTTCTATGTAGGCCTGGTACCTAAAGCCTAGTTTATGATTATAGAGTTACTTTCCCCATTAGGAAAAAAGAAGACACACACACACACACACACACACACACACGTTTGGGAAAGAAGTATATAATGTTCCAATTTAAAGATGATCTGTTAGGATAAAACACGCACCCTTGTTAATAAACGAATGCTCATGGTTTGAAATGGCATTTCTAGCAAGAAGGTCTGTGGAGTAATCAGCATATATGACACATTTTACTCTCTGTAAGAAGCCAGCATAATCAGTCAAGACACAGCACTGAATAATGGCAACATCTAAAACATCTTTGTTTGGTTTTTGTTACCTTCAAGGAGAGTAAGGAGAGTGATCTACTGTAGGATTTTTACATTTTATTGTCATCATTCAGGAAAGCAATTCCAGTTCACTCATAAAGGGTGACTGTGTGAAGAATGGTTATGATTTCTTTTTTTACTTTTAAAATAAAAATTTTGGAGTTCTTGATGTTGTACTTTGGAAAATAATGCTTAATAAATACAGACATTTCATGATGTAGTCTTTAATGTCAGGAGTAATGGAAATGTGAAGATCTCTTGGGTGAGAGATTATTATAGGAGATAAATAATGAGTCGTATGATGGCATCTGAGCCAAGAGTAAAAATATTGGAGAGTCTCTGTTTTGAGAGAAGTGATTTAATATTTGTCATAAATTGGGATATGATTGTGGGAGCACTGTGTCCTTTTATTTCACCTCTCTGAAGTAGAATTCTGTTTGGCAGATTAATATATGTATGATCATGACATATTCTTTCCCATTATGCCAGGCTTGAGCTTTTTAAAAAGAGCAGTGTAGTAAGACTTTTTTAAAAGCTATGCTTTTTAGAAAGAGGCTTACTTCTTACCATGACGCTATTTAGAAGTAAGGGTGTTTTTGCCTTTTTATTTTTCCAAGTATAATTGTCCCTGTGAGTTTAAAAAAGAGATGGTTAGAGTTGAATTTGATAAACATTCTTTTGTTTGTTTAGGAAGCTGTGAAAAGGGTAATCAACATCCAACATAAGCAGAGATTTAAAAACTCATTTTATTACTTCAAATGTGTTTCATGTATTAAGTATTGCTCACTTGCTGAAATTTTTCATAACTGCAAGTGTATAATCATTACAATTTGGAATTATACTTGCATTACTTCAATAGGTTTGCATTCACACACACACGTGTGTGTGTCCTTTCTCAATGGATTGTGAGGGAGAGAGAAAGAGAGAATTTTCTCTATGTATACTCTACACTCCTACTTCCTAGTGGACTTGCGGTTTTGATGGTCCCCTAATAGATAACCGTGTTTTGAGGTGGAACATAGGCCTTTGCATTGTTTCTACCTATCTAGAATCCTGATATGCTGCTTTTAGTGCATAAATATTTGTTTTATTAAGAAAAAGACATTTTAGAGTTGTTTTGTAGTTGTGATTTGTATCTCAACTAGAGTTCACTTGGAAATTAAATGAAATTATTGGTGATAGTTAGTTAAAGCCAAAGTAGACAAAAATTGAATGGCATGTGCTCCTGGTCTCTTACCAATAACTATGCTTTAATAATAAATTGGGAGTTAGGAGACCCATTGAATATTTTCCCTCATTTTTTAGATTAATTTTTTCTTTATTGTTTTATTTTCTGTGTATGGGAGTTCTAACTGCATGTATGTCTGTTTACCACATGTATGCCTGGAGCCACAGAGGCCAGAGGAGATCATCAAATACCCTAGAACTAGAGTTACAGATGGTTATAAGATGTCATGTGGGTTCTGGTACTTGGACTAAGGTCCTCTGGAAGAGCAGCAGGAGCTCTTAACCACTAAGCTAGCTCTCCAGCCATATATATCCATCCTCTCTTTCTCATATAATTGAAATTAGCTGCTTCCTACTGCATTTGAAATACTCATCATCATTTGTGAAAGTGCTTTTTTTTTTTTAATACTATAGTTCTGTATGTTCAAGGTAAAGGATTATTAGTTATTTTATTAGACTTAGGAAGAATGCTGGAGATAATATGTCTGCTTTGCTGTGGTCTTGGCTGCCAATAACCAGTGGTTAAATGATGATTTGCTTTAAGAGGTATTAAGGGGCAACGTACCTTACCATAGTAGGTAGAAGCCCTGAGTTAGGCAGGGAGACCGAAATCTCGCACTATGAGCTGCAGTCTTCTCATTGAAAATGGGGATTTTGATAGGAAATGTGGTTTAGACTCATCATTGGGCTTTTATGAGTGACTACTCTACTTTTCCAGCCTTTTAAGACTGATGCCTGTTGAAAGTCAGGTGAATTTTGGAGATTAGATGAGTAGGTAGAGTCTAAACACTGATGGCTTTGTTGGAATAGGGAATGTCTTAATATTTGAGGCCATCTGTGGTTGGACTTCCTAGTACAGCCCTGTATTTGGGCATTTTGGTTTCAGGCAGGAGGTTGTGTGTAAAAATTGCTGCCTCAAGCCTACAGAGCTCCAGTGATTAGAATAGAAAGCTATGTACTTGTGGACCTGCCTTTGAAGGTAGATTAACACCCAGCCCATGGAAGACCTGGGAGAAAACACACAATTTTTACAGACAGAAAATTATTTAAAAAAAAAAAAAATGAGGACATGGTTCCTTATGCTTTCCCCAGTCTCTTAGAGAGGAATGGAGCACAGACAGAAGGTTTCCTGGCTATGTACATTTGTAAGGACTTAAAATGCTTTACAATGAAGCCATAGGCATTCTCCATTTGAAACTATAACATTCATTCATTCATTCAAATCCTCTTGCTTTTAACCCTATAACATTAACAGAGAAAAGGAAACTGTAGTCTATCCTCTTCATGTTTAGAATGTGTGGCCTGTGCTGCAGTCTTTTCAGAGTTCATCTGGACAGAAGACATCTGTGGAAGCCTTCTGGGATGGCATTTGATGCTATGGTATTTGCTGGAATAACTTAAAAGTCACATAAGCAGTGAAGACTCTTGGGAAAGTCCTGGGTGGTATAAGTGTCTCCTTTAGTTTTCTAAGGAGATCCATTTTCCAACTGCTCCATTGAGATGTATCATGGGACAAGGGGTCCTAGGTTGTCCTCAGTAACTCTTGGCTGATGCTCCTGTTCATTCCTACTTTCAAGAACAGTTGTAGATTGAATAGCATAGGATTAGAAGCAACTAAAGCAACCAGGTTCTTAATGTCTGATCTCGAATATCTTGCTGTAGGACATTAGAACCCTGTTTTGATTTTGTGTCATGTCTTTTGGTCATGAAAAAGGAGCTGAAAATATTCTAAATATTTAAGTATTTATTAAAGTTTTGTTTTTTCATAGTTGCAGTACACTTCAATGTGTGCTCTTTCAATAGGTACATCTTGTGTGTGTGTGTGTGTGTGTGTGTGTGTGTGTGTGTGTAGTATTTTTGTGTGTATGTTTGGTTAATCGTTTCTTTTTCAATTGCAGCGGATCCTATTAAGATCCTAATGCCATCTCTGTCTCCTACAATGGAACAAGGGAACATTGTGAAATGGCTGAAAAAGGAAGGTGAGCAACTGTGTTCCTGACGTCTTCCTTGCTTGCTTATTTGATTGTTTTGTTCCCATTGCATCATGTATTTTACATAATTCATAATATAAAGGATGCAGATATCTTTCTTTGCTGGTTGGTGTAAATTTGTGTAAATAAAAACTTCCCATATTGGGCTAATAGAGTTTGCTGGGGTAAACCATGTCTTTTCACTGTCAGAAAATGGTGAACTTTTCAAGGCTTTCCCTTACAACATTTAGTTCTTTTTGTGGCTTTTGGTTTCCAAATCATTGTCATGATGCTTAACTTGGAACCTTATTGTGCTTGTATGTGTCTGTTTGCTTTCCCGGAACCAGGGAGGTTGGGATGTGCTTTCATTAGCAAGGACAAACAAGTAAGAATATAAGGAAAACTCCTAAAAAAGAAACAGCAAAAACAGTGGAGGACTATAGTTTACTAGTTACTGGACTATAAGCTTCTACAACTAAAACTGTGATAGATGCTTCAAAACACAGACTGGTGGAACTGAATAGAAAATGGGGCAATAAATACTCATGGATGTTTTGAATTTGAAAAACACACAATATTAGATTCATAGTTTGTATGTGCCAAGACTAAATTGTGAATGTCAGATACCATATAAAGATAAAAACATTTGTCACAAGTACTAGGAAAAAGCTTGCTAGATTTCTCTACAGCTAACAGTGTGGGGAATTTTGTGCCTCTCAGAATCTATAAGCGAAAAGTATTAAATTGGATGAAAAAAAATAATTTTGTAGGGCTTGAGAAAATGTTTAGCAGTTATGACACTGGCTATTCTTCTAGGATACCAGGTTTGGGTTCCAACACCCACATGATAGCTCACAACTGTCTGTAACTCCAGTTCTAGGGGCTCAAACATTTTTTTTTTTTCTGGCCTCCATGGGCACCAGGCACATGAGTGCTACACATGCATATATGCAGGCAAAACACTCATACACATAAAACAAAGTAATAAAAATAACTGTTTATTATTATTATTATGTGTTTGTATAACAGAAAACATGGAAAACCAAATTGAGTCTAGTGACAAACTGAAAGAAGAATATTTATAGCTTATATCACAAAATATGAATATTTCTTAAAAATTCAGTATATGAACAGGTAGGTTACAGAAAAAAGGCTCCAAGTGGCTCTTTAATACACAAAAAAAGATGCTTAATCCATGTAATGATTAAAAAAAAATAAGTGAACAATTGCTTCTGAAATACCATGTTATACTATCACTTACAGAAATGCAGAAGTTTGACCAGCTGGTCAATGGATGGAATGGTGAGCTTGCTCTCAGTACTCGGAATGCAAAATAGTCTAAATGCCAACAATCTTAGTTGCTAGAAAAATTACATTATATGTACTCTTTGGCCTAGCAGCTCTTTCCGCAGAGACTTGCCTTCATGTTACACTGGTAAAAATAAGACAAAGCATACCAGTGTGAGGCTACTTGTTGCAGCCCTTTTTATAGTAGCAGGAAATGGAGACAGCCCAGATGCTGGTCAGGATAAAATCTGTTTTTGTTAACTTTTACCACATCTATAACTATAAAGAAGTGAACAGTATCTCCTCTTAATGTTGTGGAGTGATGGTCTGTGCAAAAAAGCAGGGCAGGATCAAGGATAGTGTGATCCATCAAAAAGAGCAAGGGCAGTGCCCAGGCGTTGGCAGCCAAGGTCTGTGGTATAGTCGGCAGTAGAGCACTTGCCTAGCAAGTGAGGGGCCCTGGAATCAGCACCCAGAAAAGGATAAGAGAAAAAACTTAAAAGTAAGTGCCCGTGATGGAGAGGACAGAGTGGGGTGACAGGCAAAAAGGTAGCTGTCTCTGAATATAGATTTGCTTTTCTCTCTGACTTTGGAAAAATACATGTTTTGCATGATCTTAAAACAAAATTAAAGTGTGAAAGAGCCCTAATATTGAGACAAATTGAAACAGGTGAACCTGATCATATATCTGGTTGCTAATAAGGTTATTTTAGATGTCAATAAATTTGCCTATTATACCTAATAGGTTCTAGCTGAAGGAGGCCTAAAAACAATCCTGAACTGTTAGGTTGAGTGATGACATTGTGATGGCTGGATAGGTGGTGTTGATGTCAGGCTCGTCTATGTATTTTACAGAATAAATCAAAGGTGTAGTTGAGTTGGTGGAGCTGGGCAACCTGGACTTTGGTGTGAGTCACAGACAAAACAGATGAATGATAGCAGAGATTAAAGAAAGAACCCATGAAAGTAACTTTCAAGGCCTTTCCTGGAAATATGTAGAAACAGAGACCATGAGCACCACTGTAAAACATCCATGCTTTAGTCTCTCAAGTCCCAGCTCCCACTGAAGTGAGTGAAGCTCTGTGGGGCAACTGTGAACTTAGAATATCCTGCTAACACAGGAATCGAGGATGTGATCAGGTACTTAAGAGGGCATTTTATAGACTTGAGGAGCCAAAGATGGGGTTGTTTCAGGATCAGTAAGGATGATGAAGAGTGTTTGAGTGAACATAAAGTATATTTGAACCCCGAATTCACAGTCATACTGAACACTAGTAGTAATTGAAAACTTCAGAGGATTCTAGGAAATTAACTTGTTTTGGAACTAGTAATAAATGGAAAGAATCTGGAACTGCTGAAAAAGGGACAGAGATTTGAGCTGGTAAAGAGGTAGGAAAAGGGGAACCAATGGTTAAATTCCAGTTTGATGTGGGTGATCTTGAGAGCTTTCTAAGATGTTCAGCTTGTTATAGGAAGTTTGAGCACGAGGAGTGGGTTGGTGGTAGAAGTGTCAATCATCAGTGTAGGCAGAGTTCAGTGCTGTGTGACAACTCACAGTTATCGTTGATCTGGCGATCTGTGTGGAGTAATAATGCCATTCCCTTGAAACTTTTCTCTCATGGGGTTACCTTTGTTAGGCTTTGGAGTTCAAATTTACAGTACTTGGGACTTTGTGAGTGAGAACTCATTGGCTGAGGCAAAGGGTCCTCAACTTTTAATACCTTTAAAGCCATCCTGGTGGGACACAGCCTGTAATCCATGCAGGATTCCAAGGTCAAGTCCTATTTGCTAAGAAATCAATTCCAAACTTAACAATGTGCTCAGAAACGGTCCTCTAGGGGTTGAAACTCAGTATCCATAGCCAGCAGCAAGGCTAGACGTCTACTTCCAGGATCTGCCACTGGTTGGAATTACTAAATATTTGAACTTACTAAACACATAAAAGAAGCAATTAAAAACAACAACATGACATACTATGCAAAAACACCCGGCAGAGAAAAGACCAAGTGGAACTTGTAGTGACATAAAGTTGCCCATAATAGTAAAAAATATCGTCGACAGTTAGGTAAGGATGTTATAAGACATAACTGAACAGAAAATCTATGAACTGCAGAACAACAGTTTTCATGCCACACAAGAACGAAAAGCAGTAGAAGATTAAAAGAGAAGTTGGGACTGAGAAGAATAAAATGAGACACATCCAGTAGGGCTAAAGGAGAAGATGGAAAACAAAACATATTCAGAGAAACAGCTGGCAGTGCTTTCTAGAGTCATCTAAAGCAAAGCAGCGCTTCACTGAAGCACTTGAGGACTGGCTCTGTATGGGTGCTGACATCTAAAATAATTATCAGTGGCTGAGAAGGTTCCACATTTATAAGTAATATGATCCATGCGAGTCTGTTTTAGCTTTCTTCCCCTCATGACTTAGAGCTTTGGCAGTTTGCATATTCATTTAAGTAGGGTATTGGCACCCCTAAATAGTGATCTGAAAAGATTATGTCTCTTCACGCTTTGAGAATTTACAGGCTGTTAGATGTGAGCACTGTAGCTCACTGGCAGTGAAGTGAGGTACTCCCAGTAGACTGGACAGCGTGATCAAGAGTCAGGAGTCGTGCGGTTCAGCCATCTGCTCTGCTTTTCCAACAATGCACTTGTTTCATATATGATAGGCAATGGTACATTTTAATCATCTGGAGCTTATTTCCCTGTAGTTTGCTCTTTAAATTCTGTATTAAACCAGCTTGGGGGGAGAAGGGGAGCATTATTTAGTAATATATTGGAAGTAATTGAGACCATTCGTAATCCTTGTTTCTTGGTAATTCATGAACCCTTTAAAGATTGTTGCCATTATGATCTAATATGCTGAGTGCAATACATCTATAATGGTTTGGCTAACTCATTTTGTGTTGAAAACAAATTTATGTTGTGACAGGTGGTTTTTATTCACTGTTTTTGTTTGATAATGAGATCTTTATTGATGTATAGTGACTATGATTTATATTTTAGAATATAAAACATGTAAGAAGGTTGAAATTGCAGGGAAAGGCTAGATAATGATCTGAGAGCCTGTGAGCAGGGTGCAATCTTCATAAGCTTTAAGGGTTCCTAAAAGTATGAGGCTTTGTAATTACAGTTATGGCGCACAGTGCTGCTGTGAATACATATATGGTAGAAGCTGAGGGTCGGGGGCAGCGAGGTTTTTCCTGCCCTAGAATCCATCATGTCTATCCGCTGGGCTGTCCTCTCTTGGAGTGACTTAATGGAATGAAATCTAAGCTACAGCTCAGCTTTGGAATTCTTGCAGAACTGACCTTCATTTCATTTTCTAAGTTACAGAAAAGTAAGATAATAGCATATGTTAGCTGCATCTTTTGAATAGGTGAGTCAGAATAGTAGTTTTGTATTCGATATTATAATATTTAATTTCACTCTAACAATTGAATTAAAAAATACCATAAAATTAGAGAAGGTGCTTTGAAAATGATAGACTGTATCCACATTTTCAGACTCTTGAAAGATGAGGTGAGCTGTAATTCCACCCTTATTGACAGTTTTCTATTTGAGGACATGTTTCAGTATTAACCATGTAAAGTGATTATAGTTTATTTTTCCTTGACCAAAAGTCAAGTGCATCTTAGAAGATTCTTGTTTCCCTCTTTGTGTAAAAGTCTGTTTTCTGCTCTGTAGAACAAAACCAGACTGAGGTAATGGTGTAAAGACCA